TGGGAGAACTAGGGGCTTTATTCCAGCTCACGTTACCACATCGAAAGTGCAAGTAGGACTATTTTGAACACCTGACGAAAATCGCCATTCTCACTCAAAAATAAAAGGTCAAACGAAAAAACAAAAAAATGTAACAACAAAAATTGGAGATTGGATTTTAGACAAAACTCGCAAGATCGCGGAATTGGTATATGATCTTCATCTATTAATTTGGCATATTCAAACTGTCAAAAATTTTGCTGACAACCAAGGCTCGATGACGAGCTTTTGACGAGAAACTACCTGTCTTTGACATGACAAAGAAATATTGTTTTTAATTATATTTTAACTTGCATTTACTAAGTCATTCAGTATAAAATAAGTCTAAAAACTAAGGCTTCCATTTCGACATCAACTTTTTATGAGAGGCATCAGGCAAGCGTGTATTCAGGCAGAGTCCTTTTTTCGCATTAATTTTTTTCTCGAAATTTTGTCTCCTTAGTTGATAAGTTGCCACGAGTCCCAAAATTTCGTTTCATTCGGTTTCCCTCTGGTTGTGCTCTAAGGTCTGTCGCATTTTGTTCATGAAGACAGAACAGTCAATGGAAGGTGCGGCGAAAGCGGCTCAACGGAAGTCGCCATTTCTGTAGTAAATCAATGGGTTGATCTCTGATGAAGTAAAAGCGATTGCCTCAACCCAAGGCTATGAAACAAATCTGATTTCCTTAAAACTGCACTTTGCTTCGATGTAATGAAAGTTAACCTACAGCAGAACCACACTTGGCATCCATGTGATATTGGAAGCACATAAAACAAAACCGACTGTCTTGATAGCTTTCAAATTTTGCATGACACGAACTCTTATAATTTCGCCTGAGTCAGAAAGTCCTTGGTTGTTCAATGGCCTTATAGGTCACTGAAGAATACTTAAAACTTGCAGAAAGAGACAGAAACAATAGGAAAGTTTTAATTCTTATGCACTTACTTTTAGCACAAAACTAATAAATGTCTAGAGATATCGTTTCGTTTGAGCATTACTTGTTAATAGCTTGCCACCTTTATGTCAATAAAAACAGTCGTGTTTTACTGAGGTTGTCCTTAAAACTGTCTCTATCTCTCTGTCTCCGTCCAAAAATATCCAGACATTCGGCTCCGATCTGGTCTTAGACCATACTGACGTGCTCTCTTTACTGTGAGGCGTTAGCGCAACCATCGAAAGGTGCGGCGGAACGCGAGGCGAAACTCTTTATTCCGAAAGTAGTATATCAATGGATTAATGGCAGATGAGGTTAAGGCGATAGCCTCTACCCAAGGCCATACAGCAGTGTCTATTTCATCAGAATCACAGAGGTTATTTGCGACCAAATGATAACACTGAACAAAAAGTAAGACCAAACTGGGCATCCATGAAACAACATAAACACCTAAAACAATACCGACTGTTTTAATAGCTTTATAGTTTTTCACAATA